TAAGCAAGATGTCAGCAAGACATCGCTGGGCTCAAAGGAAGCTTACCCATACAGAAACTGGAGTGACTTGTGTGTGTGTGAGTGTGTGTGTGTGTGTGTGTGAGTGACAGCAACTGGCCCACTCAAAGCCGCTGTCTATTGCAGAAAGGTGTGTTGGTGCAAAGGGGTGGGGCTCCCCAGAATGGTCAGGAAGTGACACCTTTCTAAGGGGGACTTCTAATTCAGGCACATGGAAAGCACATTTCCCTGAAACTCAGTACTTCCAGGGACCGGTAAGGGACAGTGCATCTGGCAGCTACCCTGTAAATAAAGGAAACTCAGGCAGCAGTCCTGCCTCAAGACATGGCTCCTTGTGCCGACTTCTGCCCGGGTCACCTTGGAAGAGTGAGGCTCCTCTCCAAGGAGATTAAGACTCTTCCACCAGGGAAAACCATCAAGCAGGGCCCAGGCCAGAGGCCAGCGTTCTCAGGTGGGGCTGGGAATCTTCCACACAGGGTGCTTTCTGCAGCGCAGGTGCCAGCCCGGTGTGTGGGCAGAAGAGTCATCTTAGTCAGTATGGGTGGGCTCTGGCCCAGCCAGGCCTCCACAAGGCTGCGCGGACCGGAGAGCTGGAGAGGCAGGACTGAGTTTCCTATTCCGGTGCCTGATTTTGTAGGGATCAGCAGTAGATGGCAGATATTCAGCAATGTACAGCCAGCCACCTACCTGTAGGCCTGATTTTGCTCTTTTCTGTGAACTTGCTGAGCCTTGGGGGCTTGGTCCTTCACCTCAGTGCTGCAGTGCTAAGTTCACAGTAGGCTTAGGGGCTGGCAAAGCCCTCTGCTTTCCATTTGATCTGTTCCAACTGCTGAGCTGTTAGCAGTTGTGACTGGGAATAGAGTTAAGATCCATGTACCTTGAAGACCATGGACCCGTTTTACAGTTATGACTGTCCAAGTCAAGGTGCCATGGGTTCATCACTTGGCGAAGAATTCAAGATGCAAAATCAAGCTGCAAAGTTAGCTCGAATACAGCGTGATCCTGGCCTCCCCATCTCAAGAAGTCATAGGACTGAAGGGCCACTGAGAGAGGAGAGGCTGCCTTATAAGGTCAGGAAGCCAGCTCAGCATCTACTATGGTGCCCGAGGTGTAGGGATGCTGAGGGGTGACGCCATGGATGAGTCCCTGGTCTCTGAAGGGTAGGGAGCCACATTTTACTAACTACATGTACAGGCTAGTGTCATTTTTAGGAAGAGTTTGGTACACACAGAGGGTGACAGTGCACATGTGGGTTTAAATTTTTAGACTGGAAAAAAAAATCAGGAGTCCTGTGTGGAAACATCATTGTGAGCAGATACAATACAAAGACCTCCAATCAGTTTGGTGGGTTAGTCATGTACCCAAATACTAACATTAGTTACCTGCTTTTCTGGGCTTGTTTTCTTGGACAGAAACTTCAGGGGGGTGACTGCAAGCAAACTCACAATGACCACAGCAAGGGGTTATGAGGACACATGATACTAAAGCGGCCAAGCCAGGGATATTAAACACCCCAGGAAAGGTTTAGACACTTTTGTACTGGTAAGGCATCAACTAAGCCAAGCAGGGAAGACACAATCAGAATTCCTCCCCTCCGACCTTCTGGCTCAGCCAGGACATGGCCCCAGTGTGATTCCGAAGGTGGTAATGACAGAGCAGCCACATTGTGTCCCTGTGAAAGGCCCATGGAGAGATGATGTGCCTGGCACACAGGAGGAGGAGTCCCAGGTGGCAGCGATGGCCAGTTGCACCTGTGGCTACAGGGCTTTTCCTCTGCACCATTCTTAGAGCCGATTCCCACCCTACCCTTGTCATCGCTGGGTACGCAGCACCAGCCTGGAGGATCTTGCCCTCCAGCTTATGTGAAGAAAACACTGGGATCCCTCTAGTCACACGTGTTTAATGGATGCTCAAAGTGAGCAGAGTGGTACAGCAGCAGCCTCTGCCTGCCCCCATCAGGCTCCGAGGTAGCAGGTGCTGAGGACCTGAGACCCAGCGAGAGGTCTGGAAAGACAAGTGCCCACCCTGACTTGCCTTAACCAGGGCCTGCTTGGAAGCAAGAGATCCTCTCCTTCACTCAGGGCCGAGGTTCCCACACCAGCTTTACTCCAAAGTACAGCGCTGTGTTCCAAGTCCACTCAGTGCCTGGGGAGCCTGCAGACCATGACCTCATTCCCTGTATCAGTGGAGTGACCCTCAAACCAGAAAACATCCGACTTTGGATCTGTGCAAGGACATCAGGTGACCTAACCAGCGTGGGCACCGTCACCATGCCAGGTCCTCCCCAATCTCTGTCCTCCAGGGTTTCTTCATCCCCAGGAGACAAAGGACTGCTGTACTACGGGCAGTGCTCAGACCGTTTCCTCTACAGGCTGCGATTATTTGCCCTCGGATGCTGTCAAAGGTTTCCTTAGCTACATTCAGTGATGTCCTTCCTGCACCATACTAAGGTCACACATGTAGATTATGGGCAATTATAGATGATAAACAATGCAAGTGGCTGTGTCCAGATTGTCCCATCTTCCCTTTTATCCTTCCCCAAGCTCCTCCAGAAATCTGTCAGACACTCAGACACGAAGGACAGACCAACCTGAAGGCAAGCCCTAAGGGCCTCCCAAACAGATTCCAGCCGCTAGAGAACGTCCCTTCCTGCACACTCCTGCCAGTCACTGCTGTGCAGATGCATAAGAAGCTAGGTTGGGGGATTCTGAGTGCCAGGATTTTTACTAACAAGTTCTAAATTCAATGAATTTTGTCACCAATGATGGCGAAGGTCTCAGAGAACAGAGAGTTCTAGCATGATGAAGGCTGGGTTCACAGCTCTGTGGAGAAGGTCAAGTCCATGCGGCTGGAGCTCTTCACCTGGGCTGCAGCTCCATGGCAGAGCAGCTGTCTCCCCTGTGTGAGGCCTTGGGTTCAGTCTCCAGCACCACCAAAACGGTTATTTATTTACTGCTGATGCTATGAACCAGAAAACTGACTTACTTGCTTAGGGAAAAAATGCCAATAATGCAACTTATTTCATTAACAAATACCTTAGCACCAAAGAGGGAGGAGGGGAATTCAAATACAGAGATGAAGCGAAGAACTCGGAATAAAAGAACCTGCGTTGACCACAGGGTCGGACAGAAGGTGCACTGCTGTCCCCGCACCGCTGCACCTGTGCAGTGTGGAAAGCAGGACTCTCCGGTGTGGGTGAGCTTCTCTTTGGGCTTTCGGAGCTTGTCAGGATGAGTATCTGATGCAATGTGCTATGCAAGAAAGGAAAACATGCTCAGCATGGAAGATCGTCTGAGATAGGTCTGCTTGGGTTTCATATATTAAAGAGCACAATGAAATTTCATTTCCCAAATTGCATCTATCTTTTTTTTTTGGTACTGGGGATCGAACTTGGGACCTTGCGCTTGTGAGGCACATGGCGGCACCACTGAGCTAAATCCCCGACCCCTGCATCTATCTTAAAATCAGTTAAAAGGTAGAATATCTGCTAGTTCATGAAAAACAACCCTTGCTGTCTATCTGGTCCATCTGAACAGAGATGCGTTACCCGCTGCCCTGCCCCAGTGCTGGCCTCAGGCTGTGAGGCAGAGCAGGGCGAGGCACTGTCGCCTGCTGGGGTCCTGGCGCCTCATTTCAAGGTGGTCCCTCACGGTTTTCCAACCAAAGCCTTTCCTGAAGACTAAGCAAAAACAAGGACGATAGAAAATAGCTTTTAAAAAAAATTTATTGAAGGAATGAAATAGTGCATCTAAATGATCTTCTGAACCAAATTTTAAAGTCATCATTTGTTGACTCACCACTCCATATACAATCTAACACTGCTTCAAAGACATCTTCTGATATCTATGCAAACCGTTTAAGAGTATGAATTTGATACAGGGACATACTAAGTTTCTCTTCTCAAGTGGTGGCGGGCAACCTGCTGTCACCCGCGTGGAGCCACTCATACACCCTCCCTCTCCCAGACACGCAGCCCAGCTCCCCTCATGGCCCTGGGCAGGTCATGTGATTTTTCAAAACAGTTTTTCATTTGCTACCTGCAAAAAACTAATTAACCTTTTTAGGCTCAAATCTCTGCAGCCTCATTGGAATCATGCTCCAGTCAACAGAGCTGAAAATACTGAACAGCTAAGCAAATAAGCAAAATCACTTCTGCTTTTCATATTTCTTAGGCAAGACGGGGGCTTTTTTTTTTTTTTTTTTACTGGGGATCGAACTTGGTTCCTTGAGCTCATGCGGCAGGCAGGCGGAGAAATCACTGAGCTAAATCCCTGGCCCAAAGACGGGTTTTTTAAAGAAACACTGCACATGGGCCGGGGATTTAGCTCAGTGGTTTCGCCGCCTGCCTCAAAAGTGCAAGGTCCTGAGTTCGATCCCGGGTACCAAAAAAAGTAAAATAAAATAAAGAAACACTGCACAAAAGATAGAAGTGTAAATGAGAAATTAGAGAGTTTCACTTATTAAAGGGAAAACCTCACAATTTAATTCATTTGTTCCATAGAGAAGACTGGGATAAAAGAAAACAACTTGATTTTTAAAGTTTAAGGTCCTAACTTAGTAATGCAAATGTTTCCTTAAAGGCATAAAAATAAAAAGAAATCTAAAATGTAACCGCCAGTGTTCTTTAGGATCTAAGAAAGTGAGATGTTCTCGGTTTAGGCAAATGGTTTCTCGGGCTGACAGATGCACTCCCGTGAATCTGTCTTGGGCTGTGGGAAGAAAGCCATGCTGTCTCATGTGCTTACCCGTAAGGCTGACACTCAACTACATGCATGTATTTGTCTTGAGGGTTGCTCTAAGTACTGGCGACTTAGGTTCGCTGTACCTGCACAGGAAGCCATTTCACCTTTCACTACTAACCAGAACAGAGCAGCTAGCAGCACAGGAAGATACAGCATCTGCCCGAAACCCTTCAGGTATAAGGGCTGATACTTACTTTCCAACCCAACAGACTTTTTAAAAAATTAAGCGACTAAACTGTAAAAAGTCAAAATGATTTTTGTATGATAGAGTGTAAAGTTCCATAAACCAATATACATGTTTATAAGCCAATAATTAAAAAAAAGAGGACATAAAAGCTGCATAGATCCTAAATGGATATGTAAATAAATCAACTTCAGGTCAGAGATATTATAAGAACAAGTCTTAAATTCTTAATAGCAAGGCTTAGAATGGAAACAAGCTGAATAGCAGCAATATCATTATTTCCTAAAAGGAATAGCAAGGGAAGATAAAGCACAATTCTGACTCCTCTTTTCACATTTCAGCACCTCAAAATTTCATCCGAAACGGGAAAGCTAATCCAGAAACTCCTGCCCTCGCACTCCCACCTTCCCACCGTCAAGGGTGTGCTAGGAATGACAGCAGGACGCCCCAGGCACAGGCCAGAGGGGAGGCTGGCTGAGGAGGGGTTGGGAAGTTGCCAATCAGCAAGCAAGCGGCCTCTGAGGTTCTGGCTTTCAAGTCTGTGGCCCTGTTGTGGAAATGAAGGGATTCCCCAAGCCCTCTGCTGCGGCTTCTGTCGGTGGTAATGCAACAAGGTGTGTTCAGAGCACTTCAGTCATTTAAAAAACAAAAGCTCGCCTTCCTTCCCTCACCACACCCACCCTTAGGAAAGGAGAATTCTTTTAAGTGTTTTTTAAAGGTTTCTGCGGGGCTATTAAAGTTCAAATGTAAAATCTATCAGCGCCAAATTGTTGGAATCTTCTGAAGAGATCCCGCAGTGGACACCGAAAGCTGACAAACTGAAATGAGCTGGACTGAGGGCTGGCGTGATCCACGCCAGCAGCCCTTGCTGTTCTGTTCCACCTGGAGTGGTCCCATGCTAGCCCTCAGCGAACCCACTGGGCAGCAGCAGGGTGGGTGTTTTTGGGAAGCTACTGGTTGTGCTGTTTGTTTCCAGAATCACGCAGACTGTAACAAACTTTACACTAAACACTGCTTAGTCCTGAGTTGGGTGACCGCCCAAGGAGGAGGGGCCGTTTCTTGGAGTCTCTCCCCTCCTGGGCGTGGCATCATAGGTGGCCTTCAGGTTTCCCGTCTTCCATTGTTTTACTTTCTGTCCCTTCTTCACTGGTGGCCCCCTCTAAAGTCTTCTTGCTCAATGCTTTACTGGCCTCTTCCTGAAGAAGAAGACAAAATCAAGGTGGTTAGAGAAAAAAGAAGTATACAATCTTGGCTCCTCCAGACTTTTACTACTATGATTTTATTTGGATTGCCTGGTTGGGTAAGGCAGGATGTGCCAGTGCTGGACTGGGAGCTTTTTTCTTTGGTAAAGACGCTGAGCTTGCTGCAGGGGACAGCCGCTGAGCACTTCAGTCCCGGAGGCACTGGGGCCGGGTGGGGAAGACGCACTCGGACCAGGCGACCAGGCGTGGCTGCCTGTCTCCAGACAGCACTGCGCGTGCTCGCTCGCTAGCTGGCTCCCAACTCTCAAGGTAAAAGTGCCCACGGTGGGGCCACTGCTTCCAGTACACATCCCAGTCCCAAAAATGAAGTAGCACGTGGAAAAAACCCTGACGGGTTTGTGATTAAAAAAACAATAATAGCCTTAGTACGTCTCAGGGGCATTTACTTCCCTCACATCTGCTTGGACATGCAGGGGCTCACAGCCTGTACCCCTGGGGGGTGGCGAGCCCTCCTGCACTTCCGGACGCGCGCCAGCCTCACGTCAGACGGCGCATGGCCCTCGGGTCTTGTGCGTCCTGGGCTGCCTACCCGAGGTTGTCCCCACACTCAGCCCTCTGGGAACAAAGCCCAAGGTGAGTTCAGTCCCTGCTCTCTCCCGAGGCGAGCGGCTCCGCACGCACCTTTGCATCCTGCTCCGCAAACTTCTCGAACATGTTGGCGTAGATCCTACGGTCCCGCTCATTGTGCTCCTTCGCCTTTTTCTGGCACTTGGAGATCTGCAGTCTGGCGGCCTTATTCTGGGGATTGATTTCCAACACTTTCTCAAAGTCACCCTTGGCTGACTCGAACTCGTTCATGAGCAGCTGGGCTTCTCCCCTCCTGTACAAGCCTTTCTCGTTGGCACTGTCTAGTCCAAGGGCCTAGGGACAGATGGTCTCTCTTTTAGAAAGGGTGGACGGAGCCCTGTTCACTTGTGGACATTTTAATAAGAAATTCAGCAATTAAACAGCTTCCTAAAGCCCTCTGACAGAAGCAGATGGAAAAGGTGTACTGAAAAGGGAGCTTTAGGTAATTACTGATCAAAATGTACTGCTCAAGTCAGTTTCTGAATTTAATATAACTTCAAGTTAAGTCTTTATATTTAGGAGGGGTCTTCAAGAAGTTGATTTTAAAGTAAGTGGCCAACAGTGGCTGACAAACTTTTGGAAAAGAAAATAAGGACTTCCTACCAAAGAAAGATTTACTACAGAACGACTGAGATTCAGTCTGACTACTAGTACATGGACAGACAAGGCAGCACTACAGGTCAGAATCAGGCTCAGTACTGTAGGTAAAAGCGATGATGATCTAGGTCAGCAGGCAAAGGAGGGACACTGCAGTAATGGGTTGGGGCAGCAGCTACCCACATAGAAAAGGGTAAAATTCTTCATGTTATAAACACAAAAATAAATTTTAGGTCAATCTACACACAACTCCCCACAGTTATGAAATACAACCATTATTTTTGTAATGTTAGGCTAGTGAAGATTTTTTCCCTAAGGGAAAAAAAGAGACAGATTTGACCATGTAAATATTAAAAATTTCTAGGGAAAGATACAATCAACAAAAGACAAATATGTGAGGAGAACAAAGGGTTGACAGAGGTATTATATGATTGTTTCAATCAAAAGAATTGCTTCAAATAATCTAGTCAAAAGATGTGAATGAGGGCCGGGGATTTAGCTCAGTGGTTCCACCACCCGCCTCACAAGTGCAAGGACCCGAGTTCGATCCCAGGTACAAAAAAAAAAAAAAAGATGTGAAGACAGGACAGGCAGGGTGGTGCATGCCTGTAATCCGTTACTTGGGAGGCTGACGCAGGAGGGTGGCAGGTTTGAGACCAGCCTTGACAACTTAGTGAGACTCTGTCTCAAAACAAAAAGCTGGGATGTGTGTCAGAGAGCACTTGCCTAGCATGCGTGAGGCTGTGGGTTTATTTCCTAGTATCAACAATGAAAGAAAAAACAAACACCTTACAAAAATGCACAAAATTATTGCCTTTTATTTTTCTTATTGCTTTGTCTATCTTTTAAAATGCAGCCAGGTTGTAGCTTTACCTATCATATAATGTGCATTGTTCCCTCTGAAACCAAACACAGCCAGTACTAGGTGGGCAAAAGCGTCAGAATGGTGTGACTGCTCAAGTGCGTCCTCCTGTACAGTATCAGGATGGGAAACAGCAGCAGTAACGCAGATGTGAGAACAGATCTGAGAACGGAGAGGGACGACGGGTGCTCTGCGGGGGTTCAGATTATTCGCATATATGCCACGGGACAGCAACAGGAAGTGCCGTATATACCCTCCATGGAGGAGCGGGTGCAGTCTGGTACAGAGAGCCCCGAAAAGCGGGAGCTGAATCTGCTCTTACACGGGGAACCGTTCCTACATGCCCACTCTTGACACCAAACTCCAAGGGGGAAGGAAGGTCGTGGTTGCAAACTGCTTAATTTTATGAAAACTTTTATCTGTAAGGTATCATGAGTACTCTTAAGTATCAGAAAAGTTTGATTGTAATAAAAATCTTTTTGAATTTTCCCAATTTATACTGAGAAATAACCCCAAACATGCAAATAAATACGCGGAATGGAAAACCCTCCAGCCTTTGGTCCACATGTGCGTGGGAAAGAAGGTCTGGACTACCTGGCCAGCTCGAGGCGTCTTTACCTTGTCGCAGCACTCCACAGCTTTGGCGTATTCTCTGAGCTTCAGGTAGCACATGGCCAGGTTCAGAAAAGCAGCAAGCAGAAATGATTCCGACGCTTTCAGCTCCTTCTCTGATAAACCATACTCCATCTCTAGCCAGGATACTATCTTCCCGTACTGAATTACCGCCTGCATGTATTTGCCTCCCTAGGAGGAAAAAAGCTAGGATTTACTTCTTGTACTTCGAAGTGTGAGTGCGGCCCTGCCTCAAGAGGGCCCACCCTCCACCCCAGACCCCTTGTGGAGCCCTGCAGCAGCCCCTCCTCTCCCAGGAGCGGCTCTCTAGGCCCGCCCACTCCCGTGGGAGCCCTGTGGCCGCAAAGCTGCTGACGTGCATTAGCACTGCACAAGCCCTTCCCGTGGTCTGCCTGTCCCTCTGGTTCATCCTTCAATGCCGATACTCATCCATCTTTCAAAAGGATGGTGATCGGTTTAGTTTACTGAAGGGGGAATTTTCTCTTCTCTCCTGGTGGTCAGCACTGCACAGTAAATACTGCAGTCTGTCAAGAGGTAGTCCCAAAGGCAGCAAACCTGAGCCACCTAAACCAGACTCTGCTGCTACTATTCAATTCTGTCATTTGTGGGGCAAAAGCACCTCTGGATAAGGTATATATAAGTGGAGGTGCCTGTGCCCTAGTGAAATTTTTTTCTATTTAAAATTTTTTTATTAGTACAGGTTTGCAGTACATAATGATTACATTCCTCATGGGGAGCTGGTACATATAAATAACATCTGAATTCTTTCTACTTCCCCTTGCCCTCTCCTCCCTCCTCCTCTTGCTTCCCTTCCCACTTACAGAAGATCTATCTCCCTGTTTCTTCTTATCTTTTATTTTGCTCCTTCATCTATATATGAGTTTCTCATATAAGAAAAACCATGCGATATTTAAGTTTGTGTGTCTCATTTCTTTCACGTAATATTACGGTCTTAAGGGGCATCCATTTTCCTACAAACGAATCAAATATATCTTTTGTTATAGCAGAGTACTCCATTGTGTTTAAATACATTTTCTTTATTCATCCACTCATCTGTGGATGGACATACAGGCTGCTTCCAAGATTTAGCTATTATGAACTGTGCTGCTATAAACATGGGTGTGCCATGTGTCACTGTAATATGATGACTTTAACTCTTTTGGGAAGATATCTAGAAGGGGAATAGCTGAGTCAAATGGAATTTCTAGTTTTAGTGCTTTGAGGCCTCTCCATACTGATTTCCACAGTGGCTGTACTAGTTTCCATTCTCACCAACAATGTAGAAGGGTTCCTCCCCCCACCTCTCCAGCCTTGCCAGCATTTGTTATTGATTTTTTTATTGGTACCGGGGATCAAACTCGGGACCCTGTGCTTGCAAGGCAGGTGCCAGAACCACTGAGCTAAATCCCCGGCCCATTATTTGATTTCTTGATGGTGGCCATTCTTTCTGGGGCAAGACAGAATCTGTGTTGTTTTAATTTTCATTTCTCTAAGGGCCAAGGATGTTGAACATCTCTTCACGTATTCATTGGCCATTTGTACTTCTTTTTCTGAGAAGTGTCTATTCATTTCACTTATCCATTTGGTCTCTTTATGGGGCAGGTCTAATTTTTTTTGAGTTCTTTATATATCCTAGATAGTAGTACTTTGCTGAAGGAGTATCTGGCAAAAATTTTTTCCTATTCTATACACTGTCTCTTCACTGTTTCCTGGTGAGATTTTACTTACAAAAGCAGGCAGTGGGCTAGAGTGGGTCCATAGCCTACAGGAGGCTGATCTAAAGGCAATGGGAATGAATATATGAAGCTGACTAGCAGCAGTGAGTACAAATAATAATTATGAAACAACACAAATCACATAGGTGTCAGCCAACTATGTGAGACAAATCTCCTACTCATATTTTTGCTTTTACCCAATGACAATTCTAACAACTGTAACCAAAGGCATCATGTGAATAAAAAGTATATAAATATACATATGTATATACAAGCACACACATATGCTCTCTACAAGAAAGTTTGGGGCTGAGACAATGTACTTTAAGATGAATGAAAGAATGGAGTGACAGGGCCGGGGATTTAGCTCAGCGGTTTCGCTGCCTGCTGCGCAAGCGCAAGGACCCGAGTTTGCTCTGCAGTACCAAAAAAAAAAAAAAAAAAAAAAAAAAATGGAGTGACAGCTGGTAAAAACACAACAATGGGGATAGAAGTGAGGGCTCTCCTTTGCAGGAGACGAGTACAGGCCTGAGAACACAGATGACACACCCTGCCAGATGACAGAAGAGCAGCCAGACCCGTGAGGACATTAGCTCCAACAATGTCACTGGGACTCAACACACTCAAAGCAGTGAGTGCGTCCCACCCCACAGACTCCAGCCCTCAGCCAATGGCTCTGTGTAAGAAGAGAACAGAGTGAGTGAAAGAGAAGGGGTCTGTTCTGAAGGCTTGAAGTGAGTGGTGTGGTGATGAGGCGTGCCAGCAGAAAGGAAGCCATGTGGTGGGTTTTCCGGCAGCGAGGACTGGGTCTTCACGGGGCTATATTATGTCCCCTGGATGTCCTTCTTCACAAGTCACTTGTGTGGGGATGGGACGACTGACTTCATCAGTTCTGCTGCAGAAACTTAGGGGCAAAGGGTGCTGAGGCTATGCAGGAGAAAGGCACTAGATTCTGTCTGTCATACTCTGCCTCAGAAGGCTGTGATAAAACTTTCATGTGAAGGCTGGGGATTTAGCTCAGCAGTTTTGCCAGCTGCTGCGCAAGCGCAAGGACCCGAGTTCTATCCCTGGTACCAAAAAAAAACAAAAAAAAGAAGTACGTGCTGTGGACCACACTGTGTCCCCCACTCCACATTTCCATGCTGAAGCCCTGGTCCTAGGGTGATGGGACTTGGAGATGGGGGCCTCGGGGAAGTAATGAGGCCTAGATGAGGTCAGAAGGGCGAGGCCCTTGGGCCGGGGATCTAGCTCAGTGGTGCTGCCTCGTAAGTGTAAGGTCCCGAGTTTGATCCCCGGTACAAAAACACAAAAACAAAAACAAAACGCACATAAAAACTTCCCATCAGGCTGGGGATTTAGCTCAGTGGTGCTGCGCCTGCCTTGTTTGCACAAGGTGCTGAGTTCAGTCCCTGGTACCAAAGGAAAAAAACCCCCAAAACAAACTTCCCATCACTGGAAGCAAAAATGGAGATGTAAAGATGCCATCCGATGTAGGTTAGGTGAGGCATCCCTAGTCATGCCGGTTTCTTCTCTTCCTCTTTCATCTTTAAAGGACCCACTGACTTTTCTGATCATCTCCCAACACAGTTACAGGGAAAGCTGTCAGAGAGGACAAAAACCTTGATCTTATCAGTTTAGTATGTTCTGAATAATCAGAATGGTGGAAGACTGTGATTTCTTAAAAAAACTCATAGTAGGCTTTTTTTTTTCATAGTAGGCTTAATAATTCTTTTACACTTACAAGGCATTTACATTTTCTGAAACTTTATTTTTATAAAATCTCTTTCATAATTTTATTCATTCACTTATTCAGTGCTGGAGATTGAACCCTTTGGACTGAGCTATATCCCCAGCCCTTTTAAATTTTTTTGTTTTGAGACAGGAAGGGTCTCACTGAGTTGCCAAGCTGCAATCCTCAGGCCTCAGCCACCCAGAGTACTGCAATTTTGGCACGCACCACTTAATTTTATTTAGACTTCAATTTCTAATGAGCCAAAACATGTTTTGCAGTATTCTTGCTTCTAAAATACTAAAACAGAGTGGTTCTCGACGGGGGTGGGGGTGGGGGTGTGATTTTGTTATCCCAGGGAACACCTGGTACCATCTGGAGACTTATTAGTCATCACAAGTGTGTGTGCCTGTGCGCGCGCGCACACGCGCGCGCGGGGGTAGTGCCACTGGCAGAGTGGGTGTAGGCCAGGGGATGTTAAACAGCCACACTGACCAGGACAGTCCCCACAAATGGGAATTATCCAGCCCTGTGTCACTAGTACTGAAGTTTAAGAATCCATAGATAAACTGGGCATGGTGACACATGCTTGTAATCCTAGCTACTTTGGAGGCTAAAGCAGGAGGACTGCAAATTCAAGGCTAGCCTGGGCACCTAAGTGAGACCCTGACTCAAAGTATGTATACATGTATGAATGAATAAATAATTAGGAAGGGCGGTGGGTGTGTAAGTTAGTGACAGAATGTCCTCAGGCTCAATCCCCAGTACCTCCCCCTACACACACACACACACACACACACACAGGGACACACACGCAGTAAAACAAAGAAGGAGAAACACAGACAAGGTAGACTCTTCTAGATTCATAGATTATTTGTATCTAAACTGATTACTAATATCTTGGCTCAGCAAGGGTGGTCAAAACCTTGCAGAGTCTGGTTTGTCTCCAGCAGTTCCATGGGTGAATAGTCATCCTCAGGGAGCACGCTTTAAAAATTGCCTTCTTTCCCAGGAGCACAAGGGGGCGCAAGAACCCCGTATCGCCGCATGGTCATACTTCTCACTTCGCGGCCAAACTGGAAGAGAAAAACGCTACCCAGGTGTGACAGTCTGAGCCCCTTTGTCCTCCAGGCACTGTCGGTTAGAAGGGCAAGAGGCATGTCTGTGGAAATGGTCTGCACAATGCCTGGCATAGTATCGGTTGCTAACCGTGCTTAATAATTATTTTCAGAGCCAAATGAAGAATCTTCTACTCTTCTTCTCATTAGTGTCTGGAGGCTGACAGGAGGTTTCACCGTCCAGTCAGCACACTGATTCCCATTTAAAACCTCCTGGCAAAGGGGGAGAGATTTACACTCTTAGTATAAACCAAACCAACAGGTTAGTACAGGTGGAGAGCCAATGTGTATGAAATAATTTCCAGTCCAGCCCGCCTCTGCTTGCCATACAACTGGACTCTGTGCCTACAGACCACGCATCAAGTCAAACACCCCGGAAAGCGGGGGCAGTGTGGCAGACTGAAACCTGCCCCAAGGCTTGACAGGGGAAGGGAAAGCGTGCCGGAGACTATCCACCCACCATTCTGAAGCTTACGCTAGAGCTAGGGTCCCTGCTGTGATATTTTATCTACAATTAGGAAGGTGCCTCCAGGGAAGTGTTTAGTGGGACAAAATGTTCAGAAAAATTCTGGGAGAAAAGTCTTAGGTCAGTGTTTTTGAACCTTTCCTTAAGTTTTTCCCAATAGACTAATGTTTTGAAAGATCTTGTCTATCAAATTGCATGTTAAAAATAATATGTTCCATATGTGTGACTGCTGACCCAGAGTTTATTCAAAGATCAGTAATTTTAAGAAGGTTCATAATATGAAATATACAAATCATGGTTGCAGTTGTGACATTAATGAGCAACAGAGTAATCGTACAGATCCTTAAGTACTGGTTTCTGCTACTGATCACTCATTCCGGCTGTCTCTGTATACAATCAGGATACAGGTATACATGAAATACAGCTTCAGGACGTCACTTCATTATGGAAAATGTTCTGTAAAATTCAGTGTCATCAGCAATCAATTAACACTCCTTAATCAGAAGAAGCCACTTTACCACGCTATATAATTCTAGTCAAATGTCAGAAGCTTTGAGTTCCCAAACTGTTAAAAAGGTATTTAAAAGTTGGGTGATAGATGAAACAATGATGGGGATGCACTCTGAGAAGTGACTGGTAGATAATTTAGTCTCTGTGAGGACACCACAGAAAGCACTCACACAAACCTACACGGTGTTGCCTACTGCACTCCTAGGCTGTATGGTGCAGCCCACTGCTCCTAGGCCCGTTACTCTACTAAATACTGGACAGCTGTAACACCTGGTGCCTATGTATTTAAACATATCTAGACACAGAAAAGATGCAGTAAACTATACAATTTATACAAGCAGAAAATGTACACCTGTTTAGGGCATTACCACGAATGGAGCTTACAGGCCTGGAAGTTGCTCCAGGTGAGTGTGCGGGAGCCATACGAGGGCCGAGGAAATTACTGTCTACTACCATGGACCTACAAACAGGATGCACTTGAGCTGTACTAACTTTAGTAAAAATACTATTCTTTTCAATAATAAATTAACCTTTGCTTACTATATCATTTTTACCTTATAAACTAATTTTTAAAATGTTTCCTCTTTTGTAATAACACTTTAGCTTAAACAGAAACATGTTGAAGACTGTACAAGATATCTTGTCCTTGTATCCTTCATCTGTAAGTTCATTTCTCCTAAAATATTTTTCTTTACTTCTTCAGGTCCTTGTTAAAGATGAAAACATGAGTATGTAGCTCAGTGGCACAGCACCTGCCTGGCAAGTGAGAGGCACTGTTTGATTCCCGGTACTGAAAAAGAGAAGACATAAGCACACAGGAGTCTGGGGCTGCACAGGGTCAGGGTCCTCAGGGCCACTGTCTGCCACCACCGCGTCTCACCCACTAGAAGGTCTTCAAGGGCAATGACTGCAAGGGGCTATTGTCTCCTGAGAGGACAAGGCTTCTTCTGGGACTCCACCTGAAGGACCTGCCTGACATTGTTTTACAGTTAACTTTTTAAAGAAATATGTAGAAGGACTAAACTCTAATGATAAGCAGTACAGTACAGTAAATACCTAAACCAGTGACACAGGTGCTTATTAGATTGTATGTGCTATGCTTTTCTATTCTGGTAGAGCAGATCCATTTACATCTGCATCCCCCAAAATGAGAGTGACGCACTGTACCGCGGTATTAGGACAGCTATGACATCAGCAGGTGGCAGAACTTTCTAGCTCCACTGTACTCTTCTAGGACCATCGTCACATCAACTGTCCACTGTTAAGCGAAATGCTGTCACACAGCACATGGCAGTACAGCTAGAACCTTTATGGAACCCAGGAATATTATTCTGTTTTTGTTGGGTTCCTTAGTGCTTGCCAGGCAGGCGTGGTGCTGCTGAGCTAAATCCCTGGCAGGAATATCATTCTGGACCTATGATGTGGACAGAAACCTTTTTAGTTCTAGTGTATTATGTATTTGGGTATACAAATAATCCATTTGGAACCTTGAGTAGTGCAGTTGTATTCAATAGGCTCAAACAGAGTTTTTAAAATATCAACTTGGACTCGTGAGTTCAGAAACTCACAGAAATTTAGGGGTGGAAAGAAACTTGGGGGTCATCTAGTGTAATTCTCTCATTTTCCACATGAAAATAAAATCTCTTTGGATTTTTTTTTTTTTTTTTAGTACCAGGGATTGAACTTGGGTCCTTCCGCTTGCGCAGAAGGTGGCGAAACCACTGAGCTAAATCCCAGGCCCCTCTTTGGATGTTTAAATGACTAAATCATCTGAAGAGCAATAAAGCCCAGTTTTCCAAATTCTCAATTTAGAGCTCATTCTCTCATAGCCCAATGCTTTGATGACCTACACATTATCTTAGTATATGTACTAATTACAAATAAATATTTAAACCTGTAGACTTCAAAATTGACTACAAATCACAATAAAACCTTCGGTTTAAAATACAACCCTGTACCCACTCATAATAAACAGAAGTTTTATGCAACAAAACTTATCCTTACTACACACTGTAGTAGCTTCTACTAAACTGACTCAATGACCTAATCGTGGGTCTTGGCTCAAAGTTTGAAAAACAGAAACTGTACAGGCGGCTGTCTATCTGTGTTTCTTTGGTGTTGATTATACTTTGCTGTATAATTCTCTAGTCATTTCACTTGGGTTAGCATTCTCCCCAGACAAGGCTATAAACTCAATGGCATGTCTTACAGCACATTCTCCAAAAAGACTTGTGAAATTATTTTTAGGCATCCTTGCTTTATACTGTTGAGAAACATCACTTATCTCTGCTCATGGATTGGAATGGCAAAAAGAAAAGACAAGACAAGAAAGAAGGAAAGAAGCCTTGACAAAATTCCCACTCTAACTCTCTTAAAGCCCTTCGTGCTTGCAGTGCTGAGGATGCAGTCTTAGGCTGGGCGAGCAATGGGAAGAGCACTCAGATTAGAACTGAACTAAGTGTGGTTTCTGTTTTCTTTTTTTTTTGGTACTGAGGATCGAACTTGGGACCTTGCGCTTGTGAGGCAGGCGGCAGAACCACTGAGCTAAATCCTTGGCCGGGTTTCTGTTTTCTTGCATCTGGAGATTTAAGATCTAAGGGAGAAAATATCACTTTCCTAGATATGACAGGAAAGAGATTTTGAGAAGCAAAATGATGAGTATCACTCAGGAATTTCTGAAGATGCTTCATGGGATCATCGTGGCCATTAGAACCAATGAACCCTCCTCCTGTCAGTTTCTTCTGAAACCTGTGCATGGCTGACCTGGATACTGTGCCATCTACTCCAGCCCTGGGAAATGTGTCAAGTATCAGCTGGCATCACTAGGTAACACCTTTATTCTGCTATGCGGTTATAGCAATATTGCTAAGTAGTGATAGATTTCTTGTTTATATTAAATAAATGCTAAAGACTTATTGTTGAGATATTTGCTGTTTCCATCTAATAACTAAAGAGAATACTTTTTTTTTTTTTTGGTTAGAAGTATTATTAAAACAGGTCTTAGGCTCTGTATATAGCTCTGTAGTAGAGAGAGTGCTTGCCTAGCATATATAGGGCCCTGGGTTCAATCCCCAGTACAGCCCCCCTCCAACTAAAGCAAAACAAGAGCAATAATAATAAGTCTTAAGGAAACTATTACCTTGCCTACACTTACATATAAGCACATATAACACAATACTTTGGGGGAGAATATTCAATAAGTAGATATTTATTGTGAAAGAAATCTGCATATTCTTTTTCCTTTTCTCACATGCCCTGATGATTTCAACAAGACAGTAAAAAGGAAAATGATGTGAAATTTACTCCTGTGAATTCTATTACTTGCTAACAATTATTCTGTCTATGTACCAGGCAAGATGCTTTAGGGCTTCAGTGATTCAGTGGTAGGTGGGCAAGCCAGGCTTGGTCTGCCTTTATGGAAGGCTGCAATCTGGACTGTAATGTATAAAAGAGGTGTGTGTATTTTTTTCATATTTATTTACTCTTCTCTTACCGTTCCTTAGACTGAACTGGCAGACATGTAAAAATGAGGGCTTATTCTTACCAAGAAGGGTGTTGACAGAATTCAGAGTAGGGAACATCAGCACAATTCATTGCCACCTGATCAAATCCTTTGAAATGGAAAGGATTGTACAGGGACTCACACACCTTGAAGTACACAGTTCCCTTTTCTTTGACAATGGCAGCCTGCTCCAGTTTTTCTTTGGTGTCCATCTCCCAGGATTCTTTGGCCTGTGTGTAAATTTGTGGCAATGGTTAGATGAGCGCATGAAGAAAACCACTGGCTGATGCCCTGAAGAACCAACCCAAATCTCAAAACACACTGGCTGTTACAATCATGTGCCACTGCCAGCCACTGCCAGCCTAGCACTCTCTCTACTGCTTTAAGAACTCACTTTCCATGATGGCGACACTGCAGCTTGACCCATGTTGCTTAGGGCAGTGGGACGGGCAAAGCACAGTAAGGAGCATAAACTGCGGAGCATTGTAAAAACAGTCACTTTTAGCATGACAAGGCCACACCAGCCAATGAAGGCGGGGTCCTTTAATTTCCTCCTGCAAACCTGGCCACTAAACTGCTCTTCTAAGTTGAGCAAGTTGTTTCTCCCAAGCCTCAGTTTTTCAACTCTAAAATGGAAGCACTATAGTAGTCAAGTCACAGTTATATATCCACACAGAATTTTCAAAATTCTGGGGCATGGACCTGTCGCTTTAAAAACCAAGATATACTAAAGCCTCTGAATGGTATCACAGTGCAGATGTGTAACTGGGGAATTTTATGTATAACAAATGAGAGAGCAAAGCTCGTGTAGAAACATCATGTCAGAGCCGTAGATAAGCTCATGGTCACCTGCTAGTTTGTATTATGGGCATCCTTACTCTCTTACCACCTCAGATATAATCCAAAAACAACTGCATATTCCATATGAACAGCTAGATTTAGGATCATAGGGCTGGGGGTTTAGCTCAGTGGTTTTGCTGCCTGCTGTGCAAGCACAAGGATCCGAGTTTGATCCCTGATACCAAAAAAAATATAAAAAATAGATTTAGGATCATAAAGTCAACAGAACAATTGGGGTTTTTCTGGGAAACTGGTAACAGGTGTGGTTAGTGCTATTTAGTGCACATGAATTATGAAGTATAAGTGGGTAACTACAAAATTTTCTCTATTCAAAAGACAAGTAGTAAGGACTTAGGGTGCAGCTCAGTGGTACAGCACTTGCCTAGCATGCATGAGGCCCTGGGTTCCATCTCCAGCACTGGGGGTGGGGGCAGGGGTGGGGTACGACATGACAATTAGTGTCTGTTCCTGGTGCCACAGCCAGGAATTAGGGGGGTACTCATATTTTGGCAACCCATGTTGCCTCCTAAAAATTCAGCCCAATTATTTAAAAGCCTGGTTAACAAGGACCATTTGCATTTTTCATATTGGCTTCAGTCTTTATGGAGCATAAATATAGTCTTAAAACTGAAAGGCAGAATTAAACTACATTGCCCCAACAGCATCACAAGCCTTGTGGTGTGTGCATATACCTAGCAGGGTTGCATGAATACACTCATGGAGCAACGGCCGGCACAGGACTGCTGTGGCATGCCACAGTGAGTGAGAATTCTCCTAAATAAGCACAGAGAGGCGGGCAGGGGTGGGGTTCCTCTATAACAAGGGAAACGGGAAAGCCATGTGCTAAAGATTGTTTGCTTCTTCCTTAATAAAACTGCGAGGTGCTGCGAAGTCAGCCCAGGAGGGTCAGTGAAGACTTAGCAGGACTTTGTGACAGGTTGCCCGGCAACAAGTGATACTGGGAGAAGAGTGTGTTTGTGGGAGGGGTTTGATTAGAAGGACCCCGGTTGGGGGAGAAATCCTCCCCACACTGTCTCAGCCCAAAGTCTCAGGCCTACAGGACAACAATTTCCTTTTGGAGTCTAATAAAATATAAACGGTTACATTCCTATGCCAAAGCTTAAAGTACAGAGGACGGAGGTAGCTGTACTGTGTGGAGATAAAACAGGAACACAAAAGGCAGTTTCTGAGGAGCTCCAGGAAACGGGCGTTGGTTACACAGGGGCTGTATGTAGCTGGCTGACAGAATGCATGGCTCAGGCATGTGCTGCGTGTCTGTCCAGTTCACAGTGCTGGGAACCTCCAGAGGTGGGCCTAGGCTGGAAAAACACCCACGGAGGCAGACTCTTTCTGGAGCTCAAGGCAACTGACAAATTCTCTGGCTTCTCTACTTTGACAGGTATGAAAGAATTTTGTAAGGCCCAGGATTAGCAGACCTTCTTTCTCGTGTCCTTGGTGGGACACGGAATAGTGGCTCCCATGGTCTGGCAACTGGGATAGTAACTTGGAGCCACAGTGTAGGCCTCCTGGTGACTCCTCAGAAGGGTACGATCCCTTCAGCACTGAAAAGCTGAGCCCCACTCCCTTAAGGAGCTGCTTGGCAGTATGTGAACCTTTTTGTCCTCAACCCAGGAAAAAAAGTACAAAAAGAACAAGTCTAGGAACAAATAAGAGAACAAGTCTTGGATTCTAACCAAAAAAGTTGAAAAAAAAAAAAAAAGGCTGACACGTAGGAACAAAATAAGAACACTGAGCTCTTTGGTTGTATATCAGCTGTGCTATGTCAGCTGTCCCATGCTCTAGTAGCAGTGTGGGAGACGAGACAAACCTGGTAATGAGGAGCACGATACAGCAATAAACACCGACTATCTATACCACCCACTAACAGAGTTAACAGAAAGTGGTGGAGAGGAACTCTACCATGATTACAGAAGTTGGTATTTTCTCACCTTTTCGAAGCTCTTAAGTGTAACTTCATATATAAGCTCAGCATTAGGTTCAATGCCAAATTTAGGCTTCCCTGCCTCTCCAAAACCATATCTGAAATGGAGAGTAAAAAGTAAAACTTAAAAAGAATTGGTGTATTTCCAGGCACTTCCCGTGGTATCCTGAGGCACAGAGCTATCATGTGCAAGCTACATACACCAGAGACCCTGAAGACAAACCAGATGTTGATCAGAAGACACAGTGCCAAGTATTCCTCTGTGGCTTTGTAGAATCCCGGCTAGATTTGGTTATCTTTTCTTTCACATACATATGTAACAGAACACCTGTATTATTTGAGATAGCTTGCTCAATGCCTTTTTCTCTGCTCGAATTTATATTCAGCTATTTTTAGCTCTTAGGACTTTCTCCCTAAGCTTTTCTTTTTCTTTTCTGTGAAATGCCTTTTAAGTAAGAGTGGAAGAGAAGAATGCCTAGTGCAGATTCCCCTCCATCCTCGAACTTGCTGACATGTCCTTTGCACCCAGAGCAGGGCCTGGCACACCGCGGGTGCTCACCAAATATCTGCAACCCTCTCCCTAAGCTTTATCAGCAAGGACAGAGGAGGAGACACAGCCACTGTAATTGTTACAGCGATATTCATTAGGGGTGTATTTTAATAAGCTTCTAACTTTAAAGTGCAATCACCTTCCAATAGTACCACTTTCACTTGGAAAAATGGAGAGAAAGGGCCGAGGATGTAGCTCAGGGGTACCGCACCCACCTTGAAAGTGCAAGGTCCTGAGCTCAATCCCCGATACAAAAAAAAAAAAAAAGAAAAAGAAAGAAAAAAATGGAGAGAAAGACACATCTAAAGAAGTATGTTCTCACAGTATTTCTTTAAAATTAAAATAAAGGTGCACTAGCAAACACAAATAACTTTTTAAAAAATATACAATAAAAATAGCAGCCCTAGCATCTCATCAAGGGACATACTCTTAGGCTATACCCTTTAGCCAAAACACTAAATAAAATAACTGGGGATATGCAAATTTGCTTTTAGGGCCATTTAAGATCTCTAACAGAGTAAGCATATTCAAGAAGCATGCAAGTCTGCTACAGGGGAAAGCTCTAGGGGAGCTGTGTGTCTGGTTTTGTTGGTTCCCAGCGTTTAGAATAATGCCCAGCACACTGGTACACTGTTCCCTGGAATATATTCATTCCCACCCACTGTGAGCCAAATTACCTGTGAACATATGAAATGGCATTATAAAAAAACTTCATTAGCCCAAACTTTTAGGTTACATGTTGAAAGATGTCAAAACTGGGTCCCTGTCAATACCTCCGGTTTTCTCTGGGGCAACAGGACTAAAGCGGGAACAGGCATATTTTGTTGCTTGTACTGCTTTTGCACCCCTTGCCTGAATTTTCTAGGAAAAAATGCTTACTCACCCACCTCCATGATCACACAAGAACATGGCAGATTGAGCAGAGAGGCAGAGACATACAATGAGAGCTGGTAAGACTGGGGTGTGGTGCTATAATAGCAGGCAAAGGGTATCTTCAGCAAAGAAATAAAGGATGTAATTACTAGTGGCCAATTTTAGGAAGTAGTACCTAGTTTTCTACTTGAGCTTTTAGATCTACCTCCTGTTTTATTTCTGCCATCTGGTAAATAAAGAGCATTCCTTACCTGCCTGAAACAAGGTATGCCTCTGTTTACCGACAGCATGTTATTATTTGGAGTCCTGTGTTAGGCAGGGAGGTGATCTGGCATTTGCTCTTGACTGGTGGCTCTTAGTTGGGGTAATTTTAACCATTCCTTCTTCACGGGACATTTGGCAATGTCTAGAGATACCTTGGGTTGTTTAAACTAGAGAGGTGTAACTGGTTTCTGGTGGGTAGAAGACAGAACACTGCTGAACATCTAGCCATGCACAGGAGAGGCCCTATAATCAAGAATTATCCAGCCCCAAACATCAGTGGTGCTGAGGGTGAGAAACCTGCCTTTACAGCTCCCGGACAGGGTATCCACGACTGGGGTGGAGAATGTGAAGACCAGGTCAGGCAGTCACCAGAGCATCCTGGCTGTTATCAACTGGACTAAAGAAGACTAGAGAGGGCCGGGGATTTAGCTCACCGGATCCGCTGCCTGCCTCGCAAGCGGAAGGACCTGAGTTCGATCCCCAGTACCAAAAAAAAAGAAGACTAGAGAAGGAGATTACTGCTGTGTTAAAATGCAGTGAATCTATCAAGATGAGGCGGTGCACATCATCCTGTGAAGGCATAAGCTCACACTCAACTGTTCTGGGAACACTGATCCTGACTTCCGAATCTCACAGAGAGCTGCCTGACACACTAGCTCAGCCTGGGCAAAGGATTCAGGGCACATATTTATTTGACTGAAAGATAAAAAACCACAGATGGAATTCCAGGACTTAACCAAAAGATAAACTGGGTTGCATAACAGCAAATTTGGTATTAATAACGTCCTTGAATTAACAGTTGCCTCCAGAGCCAAGATACAAATAAAGAACTTCAATGACCATTAGGCCTTTATGTGCTTATAAAAAGCGCTTGCACTACCAGTTCTTACCAACTGCTCCCTTTTTACAGGTGAAGAAACTGAGGCTCAAAGAGAAGTGCTTCCTAAGAATTCCCACAGAGAGGCAGTGGCAGAGCCAAGTTTTAAATTTAGACTCTGTGTGGTGTGAGGAAATTGTTGTTTTTTGACCTACACTGCCTCATAATGAGACTCTATCACTTGTGGCAACCTGGGTTTTATTTGGGGCTGTTGTGGGACAGAAGAATAAGGAAAGGAAGGAAAGAAAAGTTAAAACTATCCACACTTCACTTAAAATGAGAAAGGTTAATTAGTTACAACATTTAAAACAACAACATAAAGGGAAGATATCCCAATGAGAAGAGAGAAAAATGAGTTCTTTGGAAGTATCTTACGCATTTCTTAGTATAACAATATTTTGCCAAGGAATGACAGTCAAATTTCTTATGGAGAATGAAATACAGATGACACTAAAAGCACCAATTTGCAACAGCCATATTTACAGCAACACTTGTAAATTCACTGTATGCACACAAAACATGCTTGATGTGTAGGGCTTTTCTACATACATGTACAGCATCACACAGTGTGCATGTGCAGACATTTTGCAGAGAATGTACTCTGTACGTCTCAACATACCAACACCTTGAGCAGAAAATAACATGTTCCTTTCTAACTATGCTAAATCATACTCATAAAACATGAAAACACTTTCATGCCTAGAAACTTGTGAAAACTTGTTGAGTACTTGTATGTCTGAAAAGATCTGAAAAGCCTACCATATGTTAAAACAGGATTTCCTATGGCGGGGGATTTAGCTCAGTGGTTCAGCTGCCCGCCTGGGAAGCACAAGGTCCTGAGTTTGATCTCTGGAACCAAAAAAACCCCACAAAAAACCCCCCAGGATTTCCTTTTTCTGTTGGTCCAATGGTGAAATGGAAGACAAAGACAGCCAACCCAAAAGAAATAAGACCAGACTACACTGAGGGTTCTATATGCAGGCCGTGTGCTAAGCACTTCGCCTATATTACCTCATTTAGTCCTCCATACCTTTATTAGGTAGATGCTATTATCCCCCCTTACAAGAGGGAAAATTGAGGTGCAGGGGAGTTAAGTGATTTGTCCAGCTGCAACAGAGTAGGGTTTAACCTCTGATGATATAACAAACAGTTTAAATCTGCAAGGTATTATTTGCATTTATAAACATAAGGCCAATTTCAGGCCGGGGATTTAGCTCAGTGGTTTTGCTGCCTGCTGAGCAAGCGCAAGGACCCAAGTTCGATCCCTGGTACCAAAAAAATCCCCCCCAAAACATAAGGCCAATTTCTATCTCCCTTTTTTTTGGAAGGGGGGTACCAGGGATCGAACGCTTGCAAGGCAGGCGGCAACACCACTGAGCTAAATCCCCAGCTCTCTATTTCCCTTTGCCATTGAAATTGAGACATCTGCACCTACACTGCCTTATCAGCTAGGTTAAAATGTAATTAACTGATTCATATCGTATGCTGTACAATACGTACAGAACTTATATTCAAAGGGCTTAAATTTGAAAACATACATTAGACAAAAATCCTACCCCTTTCTATGAATTTCGAACTACTATAATTTTGAATGCCAGACTTAAAGTAATTACAGATTATTTGGCTATAGAGGAGATAGCCTTCTTTTCTATGCTCTACTTGTTAAAAAAATTGTTCCTGTTAGAAACAGGAATAGCTTCATCTTAGAGAGAATTACAATACAGAGTAAATAAATAAAACACATTGAAGTAGGACTGCAGGAGAAAAAAAGAACAGGGTAGAGAAACAGAAGTATTACATAAAAGGTGCTTCAATAAAGGCTTTAAGAGTTTAAAGTACAGCACTCTGGAAGGATTCTGAGCATGTAGTGGCATGGCTAATCATCATCTGAGAAATCAGATTATGATCAAGCGTTTGGGCAAAGGTAAACATGCCACTGGATTACTATAGAGGATACACAAAAGCAACAGACAGTATAAAAGGTATAGTATTTTTACTGGGAAGAGGAGGTCATCAAGGGTGTCTGAAACTAAAAGTTCTACCATCAGAAACCCTGGCAACCCCCATGGGACAACACACCAGATAAGCAGATGCTCTTTCATGGGAACAGAACCAAAACACCCTGGGGTCTCTCAGGGGTCCACTGTAAGGCAGAAGGGCTAGACTCATGGTATAATTTTAGACCTAAAAATAGTACCAAACATGTTTTCACAATGCAGACTATCAGATCTGATAGTTCTAAGCTTGGAAGTGCTAAAAGATAGCTTTTTGATGGGAAAAATTTAGGCAAAAATGAGTCATTTCCACTGTTTTTAGATCCAGGAAGAATACATTTTTTTCCCCAAAGACTCTGTATAAGCACATGTGGCATAAATTCTAATAGCAGTAAATCATCCAAGTGGTTCTTCAACTCCCAAGGCCCACATGTTTTATTGCCTCCTGCCCAATTTAGAGAAAAGAGAAGAGCCAGGTAGGAGAACCACATGTAAGAAGGGGAATAGCTGCCTGACTCTGGGAATATGGCAGGCAAAAGAAATCAAAGGCAAAATGTGCCTGTCTGTCCTCCCCTTAACCCACATCAACCAAGTAAACATGCTCACAACTCCATGTGATAATGTAAGGCTCACTAATTTACTCAATGACTAACTCTAATCTGACTCAATGAAATGTTTCCACTGTTGTATTAACTTCAACGAAGACACCAAGATACTGAATGAGAAAGCATGGACACTCCTGCTGTTTAGATAGCTTCACAGCACATTGAACTGGTAGGCTGCTTACCGTGGTCCAAGATATAAAATACATTGTTCTTCCCGCTGCATTTTCTCCAGGGCTTTGTCAATTCCAATGGGAATGTCGTGGTCTTCTCCTTCGCCAACAATGAATACCACATCTCTGCAATCAAACATCCTTCCACCACAGCAGCCTTCCAGGTGGACTGAAGGTGAGGAGACAGGTCAGTTAAAAGAGCTGCTCCCTACTATGCGCTACTTCAGTGAAGGTGAAAAGAATGGCCAGCAATGTCACAAACACCATTTCTCCTTTCTTACTTCACTGAGACACATGTGGTAACCCACCCAGCCTGAAAGTTTAAGGGCAACCACATTTCTGTTTTAAGTTAAATATATAATTTCTGATAACTATATCAATAAGACAGCTTAGTGGGTGATACACTAGAAATAGGTTTATCTAAACCTTACTATATGACAACTTCCTCACTTGTAATACAGGGTCAAGAAATGCTGTGTTGGATTATTTACACAGATAACTGTCAAAATGTCACACATTTACTACCACAGATACAAGGACTTAACCATCTATAACTGCATCTTGACCCCCAACACCTGGGCAAACAAACAAAAAAACCAACTAAGTGGTTACTTCCTTCAAGACAAACAGATTAATTGAAGCTTTTTCTTTAAGACTCCTTAGTATATGTGCTGCTGAAGTGTGCACCCTTTAAGACTCCTTAATTGCATTTTGAACTCCTGGTGAGCCCCCCTGCCACGGCCTCCTGAGTGTTGGGATTGCAGGTATGCGCTACCATGCCCAGCCCCTAAAACATTTATTTTGTAAGACTGATCAATCACTTTTAGAGAGATTAAAAATCATTCTTTCATACTCATCCCATGTCCAATAAGACAACCAGTATTTTCTAAATACAAACTCGAATCCAATATGCTCTACTTTTGAACTGCTGATCCCTTGAAGCTCTAAAGTTTATGATTCTATGATCCGTAATATAACTCAATACAGGCCTGAAACTAGCCTCACAACTAATTCCCTTAGTTAATCATTTGATCAGATTACCTTTAGCCTAGACCTGAGAAATAGGAGAAACTCAGCAGAGTAAACAGCCATGGTTAGATATGAGGGGCCCAAATGTCCCCTGGAAATTTATGCTTTAAAGCTCTCTACCTTTTCTAACTTCTGGGATTAGTAGCATCTTGATTTACTCCCACTGCAGCCAAACTAGAGAGGGCTTGAATCCTGAGTCAGCTCCTTCAAAACAGGCTGGAGCTAGACTGGCTCTCAGTGCAGCCCGCATGTGGCCTTTTGTTTTATATTCCACACTCACAAGTGCAGATGATTCCCTCTATATTACTCACTTTTAGAATAAACGTTTAATAGAATGATCAGCCTGCAGCCAGTTTAAAGTTTCTTCTGAATAGGAGTGCATATTAGAGAGATTCTGCAGTTGAGTTTAGGGTTTAAGATATTTCTATCGGGATAAACGGTGATGTTTTACCAGGTGCAGTGGTACACGCCCATAAGTCTAGCTATGTGGGAGTGAGGCAGGGGATCACAAGGTCAAGGGCAGATTAGGCAATTTAGTGAGACTCTTCCTCTAATCAAAAATTAAAAGGGCTAGGGATGTAACCCAGTTGTAGAGCACTTACCTAGCATGCACAGGCCTTAGGTTAAATAGTACTGCAAAAAAAAAAAAAAAAGCTGCTGTTTCTAAAGGGGTTGAGAGTTCTTGGAAGTCTGCATAGCTAAACATTTTTAAGTCTTCCCAAGAAATTTAATTTAGACTAATGGATGACACTTTTCATAAAAAAAGATTTGCTGAGTAAAGTGAATTTCAGCCCATGTATTACATAATGTCTCAAGTATTGAGATTTATTGTCCTGGTAATTCAGAGATTAGTCAACAGATTTTTTTTCTTTTGCTTAAGGCTTATTGTTAGAAACATCATCTTCCCTAAAGGAGAGTACATTTAGTAGGGGAGGAAATTATCAGTACATTTGCTGTGGCTTTTGGTTGATCAAGTTTGAATGTGTTTTCAAAACAGGAAATCCAGAGACTCTGTGAAAGAGTCCTGCCAATGTGTCAGTTTCCTAGACTGGTTTTCAGCTTGTACATATGTGCTTTAAATTATATAATTTCAGAAGCTCTCCTCACATGTGATAGCCCATCATTAGGACTAAAAAAAAAAAAAAGACTGCCTACTGATAAACACGTTGGAAAAGATAAATGAAACAAGAAAAGAAAAAAGTCAAACTATAACAAAGGCATAACTAAGAAAGGAAAACATTCATCACAGCTAGTCTTTCTGGAGAGACAATGAATCAGAGAACCAGTGTCTTTGACCATTTGTAATTAGCTCTTTATCAGTACTGACGTTGTCTGGAATGTCAGAGCAAATGGCAGTATCAGAGCCTTAGGGTATATACGGACCACTGATTCTTTACCTCTACAAGTAGCAAAGGCTGTCACTTGCTGGGTTACTGGCTTCTGAAGTTGGAACACTAGTGTGACAAGTTCTACAAGACTGCTGCCAAGAACTCCCACACCAGAAGCCACAAGAAGACTGCTCTCTGCCACAGGAGGATTCCCCCTTCAGTGATAGATGCCTAGCTCCTATAGATCCAATTTCTCTCTTTTATAAAACTATTTTAACAAGTGGCACCAAAGAGAACTGTGGCACCTCTGGCTGTGGAAGACATGTGGTTCCTTTTGACCTCATATCTCTTAGTGCAAATACTCACTTAATAAATATTTAATAATAACCATCATGACTCACTTGGGAGCTCAGCCTTTAGGGCTCAGGAGGTCTGTTGCTAATCTCAACCAGCATGATTTGCGGGAAGTAAATGATCTATGACGTGCCTAAAGAGAATGAAAGTGCATACAGGATGCTTCTACTTAGGGCTTTTTTTGGTAGGCAAAGAAATAAACAAGTTAAAAAGAGACAACATTTTCTCTTGACTTAAAGTCTATTTAACTTAAGGGGTGGAGGTCCTCCAAATCCCCAAAAGTCAAACCAAACCAAATTACCCAAGCTTAGCTGCTCAATCCTAGTGTAACCACATCAAGTGAGCCCGATCTGCTGCAAAACATCATTTAAACTGGAGCTCTGACTTATTGTTCTCTTTACTGCCCTAGAGCAATTTTGTTTTGAAGAGCACAGAACACCCTGTTCCGAATGTGGCTGGCACATGAACTCGATGTGCTGACAGCAATTTGTACTCCGATTAAAATAGGGGGGAAAAAAGGAAAGAGAGTGCATAGCAGTAACAAAAACTGGAATGCAAGAACCCCAAACTGTACAGTTTGTATTTTAGGAAGCAAAACTAAGAAAGAAGCTTCAGAACTTAAAAAACAAGTGCTGTAAATGATCCAGCCTAAAGAAGTTAGATCTGGTAAGTGTCTGTTTTCCCCTTTTCTAATTATAGTAGTTGGTGTCTGATAGCTTTGCACTCATTCCCAAAACAATTACTGGGTCATGGGGATCTGAATGGGAATGTTGTAATAGCATTACTACTAGACAAGACTGGTCACTGGGCCAGAGAAAGCCAGGTTGTGACAGGTTACTCTCCTTAGGCCAGCCAGGGTTTTCCCTGTTGTCTAATTCATGCCAAATAAGTCTCCTGTCTAATAGAGCAGGGTATTGAGAGAGAGGAATCTTGATGATCCCCTGGAAAGGATGGCAGAGTTGGACTTTTAAAGCAGGAGAGGCACATCAATCATCCATTACAAGGCAACAGTTTTTATCAGGCACGGTGGTCGTATTTCCCCAAAACTGCCTTCCATCTCCTCTGAACCACTGTGTGCTATTTGAGTTGAACAAACACCACTGGGAGACTGCTTGTGGCACTGAGGGACAGATACTAGTGAGGCAGCTGGAACCTGGCTACTAGAACAGCATCACACTTACTCAAGTGATTTCTTGGTCAAAGCAGGTAGCATACATCCTGCAAGTAACTTTACCACCAACACACAAACTCTTACCACTTCTCCCTTCAAACAGCAAAGCCCTCTCTGAGTCAGTCCCACTCTGCCACTTAACAGTTGTGGCTTGGGAAGTAGTTTAAGCTATAAGAAGTTCAATTTCGTCATCTATAGACTAGGAATAATAAAATATTAGCTAACTCATAACTGTTGATAGGATTGACTCAGTGGTATTTAATGTAGAAATACTGTGTGAAGTGTGGATACAGAGATGTTAGTTAAAATGACTTCCCTGTAAATTATATCAGATTAAACACATTTTAGAACTCTATTTAGGAAAACATTTAATGGCTCCATAAAGATGGCTGTCAAAGCACGAGTAAAATTCCTAGTAGGCAAAGGCAATGTCTTATACTTCTTTTGTACGTCACAGTGCCAAGTACACAGTTCAGGGCCAGAAAGTAAATACTTATTTAATGACTAATCTGAAAACAGGGCATTAAGGAAAGGGTGGTAATTTTCACTAATTTATAGTTATTGTCCTTTTAAAATCTATTAGTCAGTACTCCTATTTTAATAAATTCCAGGAGGCTGTTCAAATTTATTACTGATATGGAGCTTTTGTTTTGTAAGAGTAGTCTAAAATAAATAATGCATTAGTTGGGGCTTTTGGGGGACAAATAGAGTATTTTTTGACCTGAAGACTTAAGAGATAACTTTTGGGAAGAAAGGAGCTATATACAGATCCAAAATGTTTGAGAATAAACACAGTTCATTTCAGTCCAAGATACTATACATACTGTATTTCATGAAAACATGTAAGCAAATGGCTTCAAATAAATAGGACACACATGTGTAAATACCGAATAGTTTCTCTGGTGTGAGAAACTGCAAGTATTTAAATAAGAATCAAAATGTATAATTGATATTGTGAAATAGGAAGAAAATGTCTAAAGGAATAGGGGAAGTGGGAGGGGAAGGGGAAAGGAAAGAAGAGAAAAGAAAAAATATGAGAAAAGGAAAAACATGGAAACAAAGCCTTTTTAAATAGGGAAGGGTGGAGGGGATGAAGGGAGGGCAGGGGAATGGGGAAAAAATAAGAACCAAGATACATCATGTAAAGGTACAAGATCTGAATGATGAATGCAACTGTATTGTACACCTAAAATGTACCAATAAACTAAATGAAAAAAAAAGAAAATGGCTTCAAGAGTTTGCTCTTTTCCTTGACTTATTTGCAAGGACATTCATTAATTCTTCAAA